TTAAACGCAATAAATATAAGCAAGAGTATGTGTGAACCTGGCGTTGTGTGCACGCTTTGAGTGTGCATGAGGGCGCCGTCTCTAGGAGAGCACGCGAGTGCTGAATGGTTTAAACACTGGCAAGAATTAAAAAGAAATGAAAATGTTAAACTTTAGTGATGATGCATCACTGCCTCGATTGTGCAAGTGACAATTCCCGTGTCAACTGTGCAGCTCGCTTATAGTGCAGATTCGATGTGCTGATTTGAAGCCATTTGCGCATTTAGAGAGGGAAAGAGTGAATTTACTCACGCAGTTTGCGAAATTATGTCTCACAGAAAGTTTTCACATTACTTTAAGTTATTTACTGAAGAAATATGAATTGTACCTCACCTTCAGCATTATGGGTATTCACACCTGTCTTGTTTGGTTTGATTGAATCGAACTCAAGTTCGTTTCCCCTCTTGGTGCGGACCTTTTAGGCAGGTGTGAATACAGCCCCTACCAAACCAAACCAAACCCCACCAAACAACCGCACCGAGACCCAGCTGAAGAGGTGGTCTCGGTCTGCTTCCAAACGAACTCTGGTACGGTTTGTTTTAGGTGTGAATATGACCCAACCTCGGTCCGACCCAATTGCAGAAATCGCACTCCGAAACAGACAGCTCGTGCATATAGTGCTGTTATTTGCGTTTCAATGGCTTAAATCACTTGTTTTTAAACCACAATGCTTAAAAACACACGCAAATGATGAGTTTACACAGCGACGTGAGCGCGCTAAATAGGCTAAAGCTTGCTGCAAAAATTACATTGACTATGTTGGGGGAAAATAGTAAGGAGATATTTTAATTGTTTACTAATAAACTAGTGTTTTATGAGTCAGTGTCGCAATGAAGTTGATGATCCTGACTGCCATCTCATCATTGGATGCTCCTTTAGAAAGAAATGCATCTTTACGGATTACATAATAAGAGTATTTGTTTTGGATTTGAATTATTTCGTTTTGTAGTCATTTAAAGCTTTCTATAGATATATTCATCATGTCTGTAAGGAAAATATTTGCTGAGTTTCGGTTCATTTTTGTGAAGCGCTCCCGAGATGGCAAGCGCATCCTATTTGTTTTCTTTATTTTACAATAGCACAACGTTTTCTTGATATTGTGAGTGCACACAAATAAAAAAAAAACCTTTACAGTTCCGAACGTTGCATTATTCTTACCTTTATGAGCAAAAATGACGGTGTATTTAATTTGTTTCCACTGATGTCCTGAAGCGCGCTTCTG